ATTATAATATAAATATAAATATTATAAATCAAATATGAAATGAAACATAATAATTAATCTTATTTGTATGCAAATGAATTTATTTCAAGCAGGATAAATTGTTAATAAATTTTAAACAGAATCTTAATATATTTTAATATATTTTTCTGTTATATACATTAATCCTGTATATTCTTTATTTATTATATAATTCCTCATTTATTTTTATTCATTTTAATTTAAAAATGCAATAATAATAAATTATATAATTGTCATAAAGTTAATTAAATCAATAATAGAAGGCCTATAAAATAAAATTAAAAGTTTTAAGCATGTTTCTTAGAATTAAAAGTAAGAGGATCGTAATTAAGTAGATCAAATTTCTGTTTTCTATTTATGTATAAATTGCAAATTCGTTTAATTCATACATAAATAACATAGCTGTTATCATAATGATAGTAATGAAATTTACCACAATACGGTCCAGGACAAAGTAAATAACAGTTACAAGCATTTCCTGTTGTGTTTAGAACATATCCATTTTCACAGATTTTACCTTCACAGCATGAATTTGATAAATCATTATAATCAACGATCTCTAAAAATATTATCGATACATGTATTTCGACATTTAAATTAAAATATATACAAAATATAAGAAACACTCACTACATTTTTCACACATTTTTCTACAGTAAACTTTTCCTACTTTTTGATCGTCTCGAGAACAATATCTTTTATCGCGAAATTCTTCGGATCTTCCACACGCAAATTTCTTATTGTTACAGGAAACTAATAATGGAAAGAATCAATTAAAACGACATAAAATTCAATTTATATTAAGCTTCAATTCAATTTTCATAAATTATTAATATTATAATAACAAAAAGAAAACATACAAACAACGTTACCTGAACAATCCAATGTATCCCAACCATTTTTACAAGTGCAAGTACAATTATTCTTATGTAAAATTCCACAATTTAAACATGTCAATGGACAACCTGTATTTCAAAATTATCATTAACTTTTTATATTAAAACTAATTTTATTTATTTAAATCAAACTATAGCGAAAAAATATGAGTGAGATGAGACGAATTTATCAGTTTATAAAAACATCCATGGCAAAATATTTTTGCATCTCATCGAATTCTGTTTAATCATGATCAATTTCTTCTCATATTTATAGATTATTGCTAAATTATTACGAATATTAAATATGCAAACTCATCAGTTAAGGGTAAAAAGTGTATACACTCACCGCATGTAATATTTAATACCGTGCAATGAGGTTTACTTACTGCAAATAAATATAATTGGGAATTAACATTTACATCTTATATTAACTCAAACTAATAACAATGCAATAAAATTATTTTTAAAAATTAAAAGAAAAACTAACTGCAAAGATTTTTGTGGCAAAATCCGCCATCGCTCCTATCGCAACCAGAACAAGGTTTACCGATTTGATAAGTTCGTTCTAATAAATCCCTTCTGGGGAACAATATATATATATATATATATATATATAGAATTAACGTGTGAAACTAAATTAAATAAAATTAAGAAATTTATTTTACTTTGGATAGTAAAAACAAACGAAAAAATGAGTTTTTCTGCAGTCATTTCTTGCACAACCGATTTCTTTTGCTCGAGAGTAAGCTAACTATAAAATAAACACATATTAAAATCGAAAATTATGATTATATAACAATTTTTTTTAAATCTAAGACCAGAAGAAATTTAGTTTAAGTTGCTGTTTTTCTGATTATTTACAAAAATAGGTATGCGCCGCTTAACTACGAAGATCTCATAAGATTATGATGGAGATGAAAACTTCGTAGCTAACGATACCTTTTCTATGTTTACATAAGTAAATATTTAACATTGTGGTAGTAATACATATAGCATCTAACGGTAATATACTTTACCTTATACGTTTGTACCCTCTCTGAGGTTTGTACCATGTCAACGTACTGTACTTCTCTAACGTATTACCTTCGTTAAGCGGCGCATACCTATATTATATTTAATATAGAAACCACTGATGCGTAACCTTTTCTGGATGCAAGCCGCAAGCGAACTTCGTAAGCTTCAAGCCGCAAGCATTTTTCTTACTAAGTTGCAAGATTTTTACATATTTGGACTTAGGACACCATGAAAAGTCGAGAAATACGAAAAAATTCGGGGGTTTTTCTGTATGTATAGATGTTAGAGTGTGTCTGGGGACGATTTTGTTCACCCTCTTTGAAGTTTAATAACTCCTGTGCTTTTTGTCGAAAATTTCTGAAATTTTTCAGGGAGGTTTGTTTATTAGGTGGATTGATGCTATTAAATTTTAGTGGTTAAAGATCGACGGGTGGGGAGATAATAGTGTCGTGTGTATCTCCAATAGAGTCGGACTTAATGAGATTTTACTCGTTATTAGCATTTACAATTTTTTTTTTTATAAAACTCATCCCTGTCCTCGGAATTAAGCTTTTTGTCATTTTATAATAATCACAACTATAAAACGGTCTTTAAATAAAATATGATAACAGATAGCACCACCAAAATTTTAAATGTTGCCGTGAAAGTTGAGCAACTCGTTGCTTGTTTATTCTTTCTTTACAGTAGCACACATTTGTATTGAATTATTGAATTAATTTGATTATGGATCCGACGCCTTCTACGAGTCCGGATAATAATTTCGAAGTCAAAGCAAATGCATTATTTACAATGTAGTGTACAGTATTTAATATATTTAATGTGAATTAAGTTCTAATTTCATTTGTGAATTTGTTTACTAATATAAACTAACTCATTTTCTGAAGTAACTATCCTATTTTCATAATAGACTTCTTTTTTTCTCCTATGCGCAATGGCGTCTAGGGTTGAGACAACCCTAGACGCCTTTATAAAAGCAGTCACGACCCGCGAGGTTCTAAAATCTTAATGCATAATTTTATTCCGTGGTCATACAGCAAATAAGGGTTGCATAATAATACGAGACAGAAAACAGGAAAATAAAATTATGCATTAGGATTTTAGAACTTCGTGGGCCGTGACTGCTTCTACATATTAAATTGACGAAAACACAAATTATAGATCACAGGCGGAGAAATGATATGAGTTTCTTATAAATTTAAAATAAAACCGATTAAAATTCATTCATTACATTAAAATAACTCACCACTTGATATCTTGAGCAACCGTTAATTTTTATGCATCTATTTACTCTAGTACGAAAATATTCTTTTTCCGCAAACCATATGGACAAGATTTTAGAAACATTATAACGTTTTCCTTTATAAATATTTTGCCCAATTCTATCTCTTATACTTTTTGGTATATGCTTCGGTATTCCGTAATCAAGAGAACAGTTTGATACCCATGACTTAGCCAGTCTTTCCAAGTCCTCATCCCATTCCTGAAAACAAATTCATTAACTTTAATAACGAAAGTGATGACAAAGACCTAAACATAAAGTATCACAATACAGGGCTGCAATTTTTAATCATATTTTTAATTTAAAATATATGCTCTCTACCTCAAATTAGTAGTGGCTTGCTCCTGTACAACACACTTTTTCTTTAACAATAGAGTCGTGTCGGTCATCTATTTAACATCTTTCAGTGAGAAAGCTTTGAATTAAAATAACGTAACTTCAAACCGGAATCCAAATAACGTAACTTCATCGGAAGTTCGTATAAAGCTAATCGGGGCCTCATGCCCCTACGATTTCCATTTTTCACTATCCAACTTCGTTCTCGAGATTTAGGAAAGACAGACAGACGGCAATTTGTATTTATAAGTCTACAATTTTTCAAATTGCAGCCCAATTATTTACAGTCTTAATACTTTTTGTATATCAATGGAGAGATATAGAGAAAAATGTGAGCGGGGAGTAGATGATATTATTGAAGAGAAACGGATGACGTGACTTGATCACGTTGAAAAGATGAACGGAAAAAAAATATAACGAAACAATAAGGAGAGAGAGAGATGCACATTAAAAGACAAAAAGAGATCCAGAGAGATCAAGAGAGAGAGGAGAGAACGAGTAAAGACAAACATCGATATAGCATCCTCCTAAACAGCGCAATCCTCGTAAAGCGCTAGTACATACTTTGTGATCAGATCTCCTTAAATATTAGAAAGAGAACATTTTAGAATCTGTGAATTATTAAATGTATGATTTTGCATTTCAAATTGCATTGCATCACCATATCATATGACTTCAAATTTACAAAACTAAAGCTTGTGAATAAACGCTATTACGACTCTGACAATACTAAGAATTATGTATACATAATTCTTGTAATGTACGTTTTGAAGTAGTTCGGTTTAACGTCACACTTTACACTTGATTTAGTGCCAATCTCAAAGACGAGAAAATGGGCCTCTAAATCAAAGTTCGATTGTACTGTACATCAAATTGAGTTTTATGAAGCTAAAATATGTTGATTGTTAAATTACATTTATAAAACTTACTAAGAATTTCATATCAGACGCTGGTGGTTCAATCAAACTTCTAAAAAGATTGTGCATATGCACAACATCTTTCTTTTCTTCTTTGCTCATTTCACTATTGATGTATCTAGAATTTATCCGAAAAAAATTTGTTGGCTTATCGTATGAAAACGTTAATATTTTTTCAAGTTTTACTCTTTGAATAATGATAAATATATAAAAAGCACAAAGTTTCATCTTTAAATTTTTTTGATGCTATAAGAACTAAATTTATTCAACAATAACTTTCTACAAATAGAACTGATAACTAAGAATTGTTTAACAATAGTATTAATTAATGTCTATTTGATTATAGTCATTAATTAATTTTTTTTAATTTCAAATTTGTAAACGTGACTTATTGGTAGAAAAGAAATCCAACAAAAATTTTCTATACTTTCTATACGGAGGTAAATACATTGAAAGATATAATTTCGCCTATCATCATCCGCCTATCGTTTTTTTTAAACTCTTTCCGCCTTGTGTGCACTAATGGATGGCTTGATTGAGGATGATTTGATTGGATTTGATTTGAGGATGATTCGATTTTGTCCTCGGATTGGTCGTCTTTGATAAGGCCGCCTCTTCGGTCGCTGTGCGATCATTTCCTGTTTCTTCGGAGTGAAAATCGAGAGCTGCAGCACTCCAATATCGTCAATGAAATAAAGTATTCGGCTTTTAGTGAAAACTAAAATGTAAAACTAGAAATTATAAATAGTCTTTTCTTCCATATTTTTTGAACATAATTGTAAAAAGCATCAAACAGTGGTTTCTGAACAAGCTTATGGAGTGGATGTGGCCACCTGAAACCAAGCGTAAAAATTTCTAATTTCAGAATAAGTGTATGTTGATTGTAAATTGGACAATGATATATCATATGGTCGNGCGCTTGACAAACTTGCCCCGCATGCCGAAGTTGCCCCGGTCTCCCCTAATTCTAAATTCATTTGTCACGCTTAGAAATCTTCAAATAATACGACAGAATGACTTAACAATATAACGAAATGTAATCAATACAATCAAGGATAGCGTATATTAATAGGAAAATAAAAGAAGAAGAAGAAAAAAAAGTCGTAAAAATTATTTTTATTATAAAATCTGACATAGATACGAAGCATTAAACAATAAAATTTCTTTGTCTTTTTTACAGTAGGGGAGGGAAATGATTGAAATTTAAAATGACAAAGCTTTTCTTACACACGAAAGAAAAAAATTGAGTGATAAAGGATAAATAAATCTCGACCAGATGCGTGTTTTTTAATAAATTTACGAGAAACTGCAACTCATACTGATCAATAGATATTATGCTAGATTATGAAATAAAATTTTCGAATATTCTTTAACAGACCTACTGGCACCATTGCCGCAGACGAGCATGCGTATATACTATAGTATTGACCGGAACATTCCTCGTATGGATCATTGCATTGTATATACTTACAAACTCCGATTGCATCTCGTTTGTGCACTTAATTTCTATTTTTAAAATTAACTAACGAAATATATACATATATTTTTTTTTTCTTCTGGTTTTTAAATTATAACATCCGACAGATGGCTTGTTTCTATTATTAGCTTTGTATCATGGTTATTATTATTATTTTTTTAAGGTGTTGATTAGTAGCTTTATCTTTGTAATAATTCTCTCTACTCTGATTAATTTATAATGTTTGATGTCTTATCTTCGATCGTTTCTGCTGGATTTTTTATTTTTTTATGGTATAACTTGTATATTTTTCTACTTAGATTTACATTTATTTTGCGATTTATGACCGTTTCCGTCACGCATGTCGGGAAATGGCATATCTTGCATCTCTCTATGTATAAAAAAAATTTAGATACGTTCGATTTTAAATCGTTACGTCCATTTCCTATTGATATTTTCACTGTTTTCCAGATAAAATTTCAGATAAAAACCGTTTCTAATGGATTTAGAATCAACCGTAACGCACACAATATACTATATTATAAATGATTTTGCTCTGTAATTAATTAAAATGGATAAAATCTAATACTATTTCAATCATCTGTATAGATAACTGTATAATTCTGTACAGTGATTTGTATCTGTATCAAATATTAAACTGATAAAATATCAAATATCATAAAATTCTACTTATAATTTTAAATATTTATACAATAATTAATAAAATTGAACAATCCTCCTCACCTCATTATTTATATATTAAATAATGAAAGAATAAATATCATATTTATGATATTTAATTCTTTATAAACAAAATGATATTTTTAGCCATTCTTCTCTTTAGTTAGTGTGTTTAATGTACTGAAACTTGGTTGGTTACAAACCATTATATTTTAGACTTTACATCAAAATTCTTCTTAGTTAATTATAATTAAAACAGGGCTTAACATATTCTATGAAGTAAAAACATTAAAAATTATTTTAGGTATCAAGTATAGAATATAACTGATTAAAATAAGGTAATAATTTTAGAAGAATTCCAAAATATTTCTTGGAAATAAGTTAATGTTATATAGTAATGCCATATCATAGATTCATATTTATAGGCATTTCTTTTGATATAAAAAATGATATGATAAATAATTAAAAGCAAAAAATGCGGATGATAAAAAACTGACTAGCATTTTACCCTCTACTTAATAACATTCTATAAAAACAAGTGCTCCAGGCAGTACTACTTTTCTTATTAACATAACAATTATCAAATATTCTCACTCTTAATGTTTGGCTCCTTTTTCTAATATATCTAATAAATTCTCATAGAAATTTTATAAGTAATTTGTTAAAATAATTTATACATTTAAATAATCCCTGACAAATGACAATTTATTTTTCAAATGTGGAAACTTTTATTAATATATTTCTTCTAGAGAAATTTTTAAACAAAAAAAAAAAGCTGTGTAAATGAATGCAGTGTCTTATATACCACCTGGAGACCGACTTAGTAACATTGACTTTGTCCTATCAAAGTTCTCAGCATTTAAGTGTACGACGAATTTTTGCCTTTAGGTCGAACTAGTACTATCAAGAATTCTTCCTCGCCCCGAGGACACTGTAATTGTTCTATTAATGGATAATGTTTAATCATAAGTAGCATTAAAAAATCTTTATGCCTACATAAATAATATCATTAAATCCTTACAATTTTTTACATCAAACGATTTTTTTCCTATATAAGATTTATTTAAAAATGGCAATAAAAGGTTACACCTGGGCCTTTAAACCCGACAAATGGGCCCCAGTCTAGTCATGTTTTTATATTCGTAGATAAGGATATCGCTTTCAATATTACTTGTACATGATTTAAGTCCTGTTTTTATAACTCACTCCATCTTTTATAAGTCCTATTAAGCGATCTCAAATTTAGATTATAACTTGTTATAATTCTATTTACTTTCTGCAATATTTCATATATAAAAATAATGGAATTATATTACATTTTTTTTCGTCTATTAATATATAAATTTTATACGTTAATGCCCTATTATTTGACCGTTAGAGTTCGGTTAGTGAAAGCAGCTGTTCAGCGAAAGCAGGTGTAATTTTTGGATAATTCTCGTTACAGATAATGCTTTATAAATATTTTTTAATTGATGAATAATTGCTAGGCTCAAGGAAATTAGATAAGGAAAAAAAATTGGAAAAATATAGCACGGATACGAGATTCCTGTAGTTATCTTTTCGTGGTATTGCTAGGGTCAGTCGGATGGCGAGTTTTTAAGATTTTCTCTGGCGGATATTAATAGGAATGACTTTAGTGTCTATTAAAAATAGAAAGAAAAACAATTCTTTGGGCATAAATCTCAAAATTAGATCGAAATATTTGTAAGAGAAGACACCTGTTAGCGACAGTTCTCTCTCAGCCTCAACATCATGGCTGTCCTATTGATTTCCAATGGTTGCTGACTGGCCAGGAAAACTGACAAAATTACACAAGTACTACTGATAATTCGCCCTTGAAATAAAATTTTTATTCACTGATACTACTTAAAAAAACGATCTACCGTCATCGCTTACATAAATTATTTTTCGGTTAGAAGCGACTAAATTAAAAAAATAATAATAATAATTAAAATTTACTTAAGAAAAAAAAATTATTTACATTCGTCAAAATATTTCGTATTGTACATAAAATAATTAAAGCATAGATTATATATATATATTTTTTTTTCTGACATTTAAATAATCTTAAGTCGGTAGATTTTTCTATTATTGAAGTTGGAAGGGAAGAATCGGATTCTTTATAAAAGATATAGAATAAAATTATTATTCGTATTGTTTTTATTATAAAAATAATTAGTTGCTCTGCAAAAACATTACTCTCATCGAGCTAGTCTCCCAACCACACCCATCGAGTACCGCAAAATGGCGGTATACTCTCCCGCATCTACAACATCTGCTATTTAAGAGAATGGCAAAAGTGAGATTTTTACTTACTTCATCTGTTTGACAATTGTGCTTTTACCGGATTCACCCGCACCTGAAATAAATTTTACTTGGAATAAATCTCGCTTTCTACCAAGAAAAAAAATTTTAAAAGAAAAAAAATAAATAAAAGAAAAGTTGGCATGTATATTATCCAAACATTCACCTAATAATAATAACTTGATATCCTTTGCTGCTTGGATACCATCTTCTTTTAAACTTTTTTCAATCTGCTTGCTTCTTGCCAAAGCCTGACGCTCTTCTGCACTCATAGCACATCCCATGGCTAATTTTCAAGGGTTACCTTCGCCTTGAATGCTACTTAACGGCGAAACGCGGCCGCAAGCACAATATCCACAGAGCAATCAATCCCATAAAAACTCTACAGGTATCCACAGATTTTTAATAAAAAAATAAAAATAATAATAACAATAATAAATCCACAAATGATCTTTTTAGTCCTGTATATATATATATATTTCGTAATATGTTAGAAAGATCGATTTTTACTGGTGCCGATTTTAAATAAATGCTTAGCGGAACTACACTGCAAATTTACCATGGTCCAGCATCATGGAGACTCGACAATTGGCGATTGACGTCATTTTCCGCCATATTCCGCACTATCCGCTAACAAGATACAGTTGGTTTGTAGATGTTAGACAGTCACCCGACTACACACCTCTTCTACACTAGCGCTTGAAGTTAGCACTGTAATCCGTAGTTTGAATGGAAACGGGTATTAGACAGCTGGGACCGGTCATGATGTTGTCTGTCAAACAGTTCCCAGCTAACTGTGCTTTTCCCCAACACAGTAATGTCAAATTGACATCAGCGCAGGCGCGTAATCAACCAAATGCTTCTCCGAGATGATTTTTCTTTGATCGTTTTAAGTGCTTTCTTCCCTACAAATACATATAAACGTATATACATATCGGCCTTTATCTTCCGCCATTTTTAATTTTAAATAATAAAAATTCATTTAAAAATATTTTTTAAATTATCTAAAAAAAAGGG